AGAGTCTAGGAAAGGTTTTTAGCAAGAACCAATAGATTGAGAGAGTGCTGGTTAGAGGGTGACTGAGGTAGCAGTAAGCTGGAAAGGATGATATGGGTTGAGATCAAAGGCTATATAAAAAGGTTGGCCTTGCCAAGGAAAAGTTATACATCTTTATTAGTCTGAAGGAGAAGACTGGGGGAGGGAAGATGATGTCGAGTTTTGAGATGAAAAGAAAGGAAGAGTTCCTGTTTTCTCAGGAAAAGAGACTAGGTCCTCAGCAGAGACTAGGGCTGGGGAAACGTTTGGGAGGTTTAAGGTGGATTAGCTGCTGTGGGGAATGAAATAAGGAATCAATTAGGGAGGAGTAAAAGAATTATCTTGCTGTATTAAGGGCCCAGTTAAAGTTGAATAACATGAATTTATAGTGTACCTGTTTGCTGACTTCCAAGTCTGTTTCATAGCACATGAGGAGGAATTTGGTAAGAGATTACCAGTAATGAAACAGCAAGCTGTTTAAGGGTATCAGTTAAGTAGTTACAGGGTCATGATTGGGAGGAGAAATCAGAGTACGAATAATGGCTTGAGAAAATAGAGGGATTAGAGGTCACAATGAGAGCAAATAGGTTAGGAGGGCTGAGACACAGGAAGCTTAACCCTTATAGATATGATCATCCCTGTGTGGAGCTGAGGTCATAGTAAGGGGTTTGAGGGAGCATCAGTATGCATAATTAAATCCCCTCGTATAAGGGCACAGATTGAGAAGGAAGACTGATCACGTATTGAACTTGAGAAGGGAGAGGGAATAATAACCTGGGGCGCAGACACACCAACCACCATGATCTGAGTAAGATAGAAAATGCTGATGCAGCGAATTTACCTCTAAGAAGAGTTTCACCTAACCATTCACACAGGAAAGTGAAATGTACAAAAAAAGGTTAAGATATGCACTTGTATAGATAGCATATAGAGGATATCGCACGTGTGTGTGTGTGTGTGTGTGTGTGTGTGTGTGTCTCTCTCTCTCAAGACACTGTAAACAGACAAATGTTGAACCTAGAACAAAAGAGGCTAGATTGTTCTGATCATCTTCAGTTCTTAGTTATCTATTCCCTAAGAAATTTACCTCTTCCAAGCTTCCTGTGATCTAGATTCATAAACTGAGTCAATCTTGCTTCTTCTTTCTCACACACCCCTCTCATATTCAATCAATTGCTAAATCCTCCACATCCAACCCTTTCTCTCCACTAATAAAGCTCCCAACCTAATTCAGATCCTTATTACCTCTTCCTATATTAAGCTTCCTAATTCATCTCCAGTCCATTTTCCACACAATTATAAAGATTACAGCCACAGAATTACCATATCATTATGCTGTTTATAAATCTAAAGTGGATTCCTTTAAGATACACTCTTCAGCCTGGCATTTAAGAATCGCCACAATCTAGTTCCAACCCATCTTTTTAGCCTTATTTCATCCTTTGTGCTATCTTCATTCCACTCAGGGAAAACTCTTGTAAAGCTCAGATAATTAATGAAAAACACAGACAGTAGGATTGAAAAGTAACTTTTTTTCCCCTTTAAATCAAGTTTCTTTAATGAATTTGAAAACAAAGGCACAAATCTCTAGCTGTGGCAGATATTTCCATTTATATTGCTGCCTCATCCCTGTTCCTATTGGTCCAAGTTGTGCTTTCTTCAACCACTAACTCCATACTTGGAACATAGGCAAGTTCAGTTTAAACCTGTAAGGTTTAGATTTTTTTTTTAATCTAAAACCTTATGGAAAACCAGCAGGTAAAATTCAGAGAACAAACTCTTCCTTTAAAAAGGAATTTTTGTTCTATAGCTCTTTAACAGAAATTCATTTTGGTCTTCCTTAACTCTAAACTGATTTGCCCCTCCAAGTTTCATCATCTTTCCTAATATCAGATGGCACTTTTAATTCCTATTAACACATCTTCTTTGTTAGTTTTTCTGAAGTGTTGCTTTCTTCTTCCATAGTATCACTGTGGTCTCTTTTGGTTTGTCTTTCCTCCTCTTGACATACCTGTGGCTGCTTAATTCGTCCCCTTCTAACAAAGTGCTGGATCCGGGACTCTAAGCCTTCACATCTAGGACGATCCAATAATGGCTTATAGGTTCGTGTTTTCACTCCCTCTACAAAGGCACTAATCTGCTTCTGGACAGAAGGTCTGACATCTCTCCATTGGACCACTTCATTTCTCTTTGTTCCTGCAGTGTACAATTAGCAATTATATGAACTTAATACAATGAATCCTCCAGTCTTTCTAGTACTCTGCCTCCCCCCCCCCCCCCGTATGAGTCATGGTTTCACTTTTTTTCACCTACCTGACCCAGGAGATATGGCAGCAGAGTCCAGTCCCTGTAGCATGCTATATAACATGTGAGTTTTAACTGCATAACTAGCCCACAGTTGCTGCAAGTGTGTAACATTGAACTCTTGGACCTCCCGGTCATAGATCCATTTGATGTTCTCAAATTTACAATCATATAGAACTAGAGGAAATTCCACTGCCATGCTGCAAAAAGACAAGATCATTTATTTCTTCTGTTTCTTATAAAAGTTAATAGTATTTATTAAGTGCCCACTACAATGTACAGTATTTTCTTGGATGCTATATAGATACCAATGAATTAAATTTTTTGAAGTATTTTATAATCAAAACAGAAATAAATCCTTTTTTGGACATTTAGATTTGACCTACATTAGAAGAAAAAAGTCCTATATTAACCCAGGTTATGTAGAAATGAGTTTATACCACAAAAGCTAACTTTTGTAAAACTAGTTTAAAAACACACACACACTTTTGTTAATTGAAACCTAGCTATATAAAGGTTGAGCAGAAGGGGGAGTCTTACGTGTAATAAGCCCAATCCTAGAGCCTCAATCTGCTCTCAAAATGAGGAATCTCTTTTTATTGCCCCATAACTAACAAATAGGAAGTAAACATTAGAAAAGATATTAAAAGTGTCATAATAGTACAATATAAGTGAAACCCATTAAATAAAAACAAAGCAAGTAAAATAATAAATTAATGCTTGCTGCCTGACTCACCTGAAGTAATAATACATTCTCATGCCACTAATGTAGAAGTTAAGAACTTATATGAGTACTTATTTGGAGGAAATATTCTATTTATATTTAAGGTTCTTGGGCCAAGAGTATGTTAGGGAAACATTAAATATAAGTAGCTAATGAAAATAAGAGAATGGAACTACCCCAGGTAAAAAGAATCTTATGTAAAATTGTTGGAATTTTCCATTACCTGTACTGTGGTTTTTGAGGATTTTTCTCTATGTTCAACAGTTCATCAATGATCTCCGGTTTCTCCATCCTCTGGCCAATAAGGAGGAGAATGGCCATCATACAACGTACTTGATGGTAAAGAAATGCCTGCCCAGTCACTTCGAACTGACATAATTGGAATGGTTCTTGCTGTTGAAATTTCTCCCCTGGACCCCGCAGGGCCACTAGCTGTACTTTAGCAGACAGGATAGTCCGCTGGAAATTTATCACACCATTGGCCACATCCATTTTACATAAGTTCCGGAAATCATGTGTACCAACATATTTTTGGGCTGCATCATTCATGGCTTCAATATCTAGATCAGCACAGGGGAAAAAGTAGCGATAAGTTCGTTCAAGGCAGCTGAACCGGGCACTAAAGCTGGGTTCTACAGGGGCCCACGCCAGCACCCGGATGTCTGGAGGGAGCACCCGATTGAGAATATGGGTATAACGAATCTCTTCAACAGAGTCATTGATACCGTCTTTCAAACTTTGATCTTCTGGCTTCTTACTCCCTGGAAGTTGGGAGCGAAGGTTAAGGGAAATCACCTATGAAATTAGGAAAAGATCATCTTACGTTTACAATAAACCTAACTCCACAGCATGCACATCCAGCACCCCCCAGCATCTTACAAGAATTAGAAAAAACTACTAACCTGTCCAAAGGCACTAACTCCTTTGTCTGTTCGCCCACATCGGTGGTAGTTAGATGTCTGTCTGCTTTCTACTAGCCGAGTCTTGGTTAGTGCCTCAAACAGTTTCTCCTCAATGGTGTTGTTTGTATTTTCTTGACTGGCAAAACCCTGGTATCCCCAACCCAAATAAGCTATCCTTAGAGCTACGTGTCTTTGGCCATATGTACTGAAGTTAAAAGTACGCTGCTGCCGTTTCTTTGGTTTCCCAGCTTCAGTGGAACTCTCCCCTTTGATGTTTGGGCTCTTGTCAGCCTGTTCCTGTTGTAGCCTCTCTACCTCTCTCTCCAGTTCTTGTATCCTCTTGAGGAGTGTCTCCGTCTGATTTGTCTCTATGTTTCCTTCCATCTCCAAAATGTAAAAACGTATATAGTTTCTCTCTGCCTTAAATCAGAATTTAGAAATGAAGCACTTCATGGTGATCACACTCTGTTGATTGTATCATAGTTATTACTACAGTCACACTTTCAAATACATTCTCAGGTTTCATTAGCTTCTGTATTTTGAAAAGCCCTGACCTTTGTCAGTGTACCTGAATCCAAGAAATTAACAATTCTAAAGTAATTAGCCACCTGTTGACTATCTCTGACATCCTACTTCATCCTAAACTCTGCCTTCTGGTCCTTTCCATCAGGCAGGGGAAGGAGAAACACAAACTAGGGAAGAGCCATTACCAACTATCTTGGTAAGTTTGTTCAGAAATAGCTAAAATGACGTTTGGGGGTTCTCTCAATTTTATCCACCTGTTTAGTTTATATGGATTTTGTTAGCAGGGATCATTGAAAACAGACTATTGGTTTTTCCCAATTGCACTTGTTTGCCAAAAATGTGTATTTAGTTGCTAGACCTTCTAAGATCCTGTTTGGTAAAATCTTGCTACTTGTATTAATAAACCTGTCTACCTTACTGAGGTTTTGTCGCTTACCAATATTTCAGATGAAGATTTCTGAGTGCCTTGATCCACATCTTCTCTTAAGTATTCAGCTCCATCTTCAAGGTGATAAAATGGAAGACTAAACCGACTGAAAGAATTTAATCAATGGTTTTATTCCACACTGGAAGCAAAGCTCAGAAACAACTAAGAAACTCTTACCTTAAGTAATTTCAATGGCAGAAAAAAGGTAATTTTAAGTTTTATAAAAGACTGCCTCCCATGTCAAGTATTAATACTGACTTTGATAACAGCCTCTGCATAACTCATTCAATCCTCTACTTTTTAAATGCTCCCTCAAAAATAACAGATTCAGATGAAATTAAGACTGTAGAGCTGGCTAATAAGTAGGGGGAGGCACTATCAATAATATCTGGCATGATGGCACCAGGTACTGGCAACACAATTGGGCTTATTGTAACTAGAACTTCCTTAGTCGTGTTATAAGATAAGATGAGCAGACTGGGTAAGACAAGTGGAACATAACAACAGCAATAGTGTAGTGATGATCAACTGTGAAAGACTTAGCTGCTTTGATCAATATATTGATCCAAGACAGTAACAAAGGACTCAGGATGAAAAATGCTATCCATTTCCAAAGAAAACTGATGAACTCTTAAGTTCAGATTGAAGCATACTGCTTTTCACTTTTTCTTCAATTTTTTTTGTCAACATGGCCAATATAGAAATCTGTATTGTATGACTTCAAAAAAAGACAAGTAACTATAGAGATCCTTAAGTTATATGCTTAATTTTTCACATAAAATTTTAGTGTTATTTTTCCTACACTGAATCTTGAGATTAAATCATTTTGATGCATATTCCTTTTATTCTTTTGAAAAATACAATGCCTAAGTAAAAACAGTAAGGAATGTTAAAATCAACTTTTACAACCTTAAACATTTTTATCCTAGGAAAACTATTAGCCTGCTGAGTATTATTCTTGACCCTCCTCACCCATTCATCATCTGTAACAACTATTGATAGAGTGACAAGGCATCATTGTTTAGATAGAAAAGTGATAAGAGTATGTTGAGAGTATATGAGAAATCAAGTGTAGACAAATCACAAATTAAGTTTGAAAAAGAATAGCAATAAAATATATCTAGCATTGGATGAATAATAGAAGATAAAAAAGGTAGAAAGCACAGAGGGTATTATGTGAGAGCAGAGTGTGAAGCCAGACAACCCAATGAATTCTAAATCTCTAAAAAGTATTGTAGTTTTTCACATCTACTATAAATATGTAAACTGTTGACTTGTCAGAAGTACAAACAAATTTAGAATGCTCCCTTACCCACTTCCAAAGTATTAGGCATGACTACTATAAATTTCTGTCAGAAATAGAAAACTGACAAATTTGTAAATATGGTATACAACATTAGACTATTCTTGTGAAATACTCTTCATTGTTTTCTTTTACAGCCATGCCTACAACATAGAAGCAGCAATGGAGAAACTCATGGGGCCTGATAAACAAAAATGGGCCACGATGGATCCAGAAGAACGTATGGCAGCTGCTGCTATAGCCTTTACCCAGATCTGTGCAGGGCAGGGTGAGGGGGGATACCATAAGAGAAGCCAGATCAAACCAGTATGATCCCTATAGTAAAGCTTCAGTGACCTTGGGCAAGGCACCCTCTCTTCCTGTGCATCTGCGGTGCGCACAAGAAGATCTTATAGTTTCAGAGACTGGCTCAGACACCTCCCAGATAGCCCAGAAGCCAGTAATGAAGAGGAAAGTGCTTCGTAGGAAGCCAGATGGTGAAGTAATGGTTACAGATGAGTCTGTTGTAAGTGATTCAGGGTCTAGTATAGAAAAGGACATGGAGCTCTGGGACTTGAGGCGAAGACTAATGAATCTGCAGCCCTGCCAGGAAGACAATGAGTCTGAGGCTGAAGGTATGGATAGTTCAGAAAAGTTGTACCCACAACATTCATACCATCACATTTCTCAGGAAGAAGAAGAAATCATCTGCTACCTACAAAGAGAAGCAATGGAACCTCCAGGTTATGAACAAGATCTGATTGTTTCTAACCGACCCAAGTCATTCATCCTCCCAAAGCTGGATCAGCTGGGCCGAAACCGGGGAAAAATTGACCGAGTAGCACGGTATTTTGAGTACAAAAGAGATTGGGATTCAATGAGGTTCCCAGGAGAAGATCAAAGGAAGGACCTTCGTTGGGGTGTTCGAGAGCAGATGATCTGTCGGTCAGAGCCCCAACCCAAGCCTCAGCACATATATGTCCCCAACAACTACTTAGTACCAACCATGAAGAAGAGATCTGCCTTACGTTGGGGTGTGCGCTGTGACCTAGCAAATGGTATCATGCCCAGGAAGCTCCCTTCCCCTGTTTCTCCCTCTTAGTCCTTTACTGTCTAGTTTCCTACTCAAGATAATCTGTGACTCCCTTTCACACTTTCCATAAAAAGAAACAACTGACTTTTAAAAAACAAAGAACATTTTAAGGAAGGACTTCATCCATCTCGGGCTTTTTTCTTTCTGTTCCAAACCGTGTCAGATGCCAATTAACTTCCATATTACCATTCACAAACCCAGCACTCTTAAGACAAATCATGCCAGAGAAAGAACCAAACTCGTAGTCTTTTTGTCACATTTGATAATAAGCACTACTTGTATTCTATGCCTTTTCCCCATTTGGCCAGGCTGAGTTGTTGTGTGATTTTATTAGTCAGTTGTTGCTGTGTGTGATTTTTTATAGCTGCTGGGAGTTAAACCTGTCTTAATAAAGAATGTTTTAGAAATGTATAAACTTGCCCATATCTCTACCAGGTACTTCCTAATACAGCAAGATCATAATGAACTAGAACTCCAGTTCATAGGATTCTGTCCCTGCCTACATTCCCCACCAACCAGCTCCCCTTCTTCCTAATTCTATAACACCTGAGGGGAAGGGTAGGGAATAAGAACATTGCTCTCCCCATAATAGCTCCTGAATAAAGGAAATTAAGTCAGAGGTCAAATTTCCTATTGCTAAAGGAAAGCTGTTAATATATCCAGTCATTAATGTGAGGCTCCTAAAAGCAGCTTTTTATAATGTATAGATGCACTATGTTTCATTCCAGAACTTTGATCAAGAATTCCTTGCATAGAGTAGGCACTTAATAAATGTCTGTTGAATTTAATTTATTAAATTGAAGAATGTAATTTATCAGCTTGGTCACTTCAGGATTGATTAAACTTATGTAACCCTATTGATTCCTGTGGCCTACGGCATATTATAGAACAAATTGTACTATATTAAAATTCCAGAATACTGTTGTATAACTTCTACTACAAATAAAAACTGGATTTAGGAACAAGATTTAAATCCGGTTCACTCTCGTGGCATGGGGTAGAAGCAACTAATTGGTCTCTTTGGGGGTAGAGATGTAGGGAAAGGGCAGGGAAAGAAAATGAGAATCTTCATCTAAGTATCTGAAGCCAGAGGTGCTTTAAATGATCCCCTAAACCTTCATTTTCGTTTTCTGTCTTTACCAATGACATTTTGCTTTCTTGAATTGTTATAAGGTCACAGCCTAGGCTCTGGGCTTGTTCAGTCTTTTACTAGCACTCTTTTCCCTCATGTTTGTCCCTGCTGATATTGTGGCCACTTGTTTTTATTAATATGGTTTGTAACTACAGGAGCTGTTCAAAGGATGTTTTCAAATAAAAACCTAAAATAATTCACAATCTAGTTTTGCATTTGAATCAATTCCATCTAGAAGCATTAATGCCAGACAAATTTCCCTTTCTCCACCAGATTTTATTTTAAAATTAAAAACCACGTGTTCCCCACAGCAATATACCCCTTTGGCTTTGCATTCTCACCACTAGCAAAGTTTTAGTTCTATTTCAAATCTACTTGGTCAGATCTCAGACTTTTGGTTTAGGGAAAAGGGATGCACCAAGTACAAATAATTCCTCACGGTAATATTTGTGTTCAAGAGAAGTTTTTGATGACTTGATTAAAGTAACAAAGTGAGGATTCTTCATTTGCATAGCTATGCTCAAAGACAAAAACTCTTTACAAACTTTTAAGAAAGTAGCTACAGCTGTGTTGCTCTTTCTCCATACTTACAGCTCCCTTCGCCAAGGTCTCTAGGAGCCACCCGTCTAGCGTCCAGCCTTCAGGAAGGATGGAACTCCATAGGAAAGGCTCAGTTCCCCAAAGCAGGGGACTTGCCGGGGTATGCACCTACCGCAGGTCAAAGCTAGGGCCGCCCGTCTACTGTACCTCCAGCAGGGAGAATGGGGCTGACGTAAAGACAGCGCGTGGTGGTCCTCCCAACCCCAATACTCTCTTTATACCTAGGACCGAGGATCTGGTGATAAAAAGAAGGCACATGCCCAAGAGCTGGCCGTAACACACTCACCTTCCGGCAGCAAAAGCTTCCAGGAAGCATTCTGGTATACAGGAAGTGATTACTAGGCTTCAGTCACGTGTTGTTTTCAGGTCTTGATGGGAAATGTAGTTCGAAGAACCACAGAGCTAGGACTGAAGGGAGGAACCCAACCACATTTTTTTTAGCCTAGGATGTACCAGTTCCCTAACCCCGCCCAACTCCACTCTTAAGGTGGCAGGGAAAGGAGAGAGAACTCGGTGCTATTTTTTTTTAAACAGGTAACTTTTAAAATTCTGCTGTAAATTGTAAGACTGAGAGCTAAGAAACATGGGCTATTTGTACATAAATAAGTAGGTGGAACTCTACCTTTCCAAGATATAGGCAATAAACTTTAATCTGTGTTCAAGTGAAAACAGGCTAGGGACTACGAGGAAGACTTGTGGCCAATTAGTAGGGAGGCTTCAGCACCATGGAGAGATCTGCCCACGTTCCAGCTCGGCCTGGACACTGATCAAGATTTTAAGACAACAGGTGAAAGTGCGCAATAGTTTACAAAACACTCTAATGTAAACGTGGGCCTCTACAACTACTATTCTCCTTTGGTGAGATCTGCCTTTGGTGGTGGCCTCTGCCTTTTGTTTTAAAAAATCTACGTCTCAACAAAGTGGGAGGTAAAATGGGTAATTTTGAGTATATACATTTAAAAAAACTACACAAAACCACTAAAGCTTAAATAAGAAGAAAAGCAGGAAACGGAGGTGGGAGGGGAGGATTTTTTTTTTTTTTTGGTAAGGAGTTTCTCTGCTAAAGGTCTCATTTCTAAAATATATAGGGAACTGATTCAAATTTACAAGAATAAGAGCCATTCTCCCATTGATAAATGATCAAATGATATGAATAGGCAGTTTTCAGAGTGAAAAAAATCAAAGTTATCAGTAGTTATATAAAAAAAAAACAAGAAATGCTAATTAAAACAACTCTGAGGTACCATGTTACAAATTGGCTAAGATGACAAGGAAAATGACAAATGTTGGAGGGGATGTGGAAAAACAGGTACTTGAATGCATTGTTGGTGGAGTTGTGAACTAGTCCAACCATTCTGGAAATCAATTTTGAACTATGCCCAAAAGGCTATTAAACTCTGCATACCTTTGACCCAGCAATATTGCTACCAAGGTCTATACGCCAGAGATCAAAGAAAGAGAAACAGGACTTCTATGTACAAAAATATCAGTTTTTGTAATGGCAAAGAAATGGAAATTGAGGGGATATCCACCAACTGGGGAATGGCTGAACAAGTTATGGTATATGATTTTTTTTTTTTGGTTTTTGTTGTTTTAGGCAATGGGGTTAAGTGACTTGCCCAGGATCACAGAGCTAGTAAGTGTGTAGTGTTATGTGTCTGAGGCCACATTTGAACTCAGGTTGTTCTGAATCCAGGGCTGGTGCTCTATCCACTGTGCCACCTACCTGCCCCCAAGTTATGGTATATGAATGTGATGGAATACTACTGTGCCATAGGAAGTGATGAAAGAGATGATTTCACTAAAACCTGGGAAGACTTGTAAGAACTAATAGAACCAGAAACATGTATATAGTAACAGCAATGTTGTAAAGATAATCAGCTTTGAAAGACTTTGTAATTCTGATCAACATTGATCCACCACAGATTCAAAAAACTAGTGATGAAATGTGCTATAGACCTCCAGATAGAAAACTAATGGACTCAGAGTGCAGACTGAAGCATATTTTTTCTGCTTTTTTTTTAACATGGCTAATGCAGAAATTTGTTTTGCATGACTATACATATATCTATGTAATAGTTTTTTTTTCTCTTGCCTTCTCATTTGGTGGAGAAGGGAGGAGGAGGAGGGAAGGAATTTGGAACTAAAAAAAGAATTAAAGTTTTTGTGCTATAAAAAAAAATTGGCTTCCTTCTGCCACCAGCTCCTTGATCACCTTGATCCTTTTGCATTCCACCCTCCCTTCAGATAAAGCTTGTCACCCCTCTTTCTCCAAGCTTCTTACTAGCTGTTTTGCATTGTGTGCAAAACACAATGTTTTGTGTCTGAAGTGTATGTGTGCTTTCTAATAACCCATTTAGTCACAGCAAGGAGGAAGCTTAGGCACACATCAAGGTCATCAATAGTTATCTGGTTCTAGGTTTGACATTGGAGAAAGTTTGCTTTAGGGCAATGTCCAACATACTCCCCCACCTGCAATGCTCAGTGCCCAATCTAGTTACCCACACCTATGGGCCTTACTTTATTCATATATAAAAATGAGGGAATTGGACTATATTAGGTGCTCTTAACCATTTTTTTTTGTATGTGTCATAGATCTGATGAAACCTATGGACCACTTCTCAGAATCACGTTTTGAAAATGCATAAAATAAAATATATAAGATTATAAAGGAAAGACCATTATTTTTTTTTAAAAAAAGGCAAATTCAAGGTCGCAGGTAAAGACCCCCCCTGCTACATGATCTCCAAGGTTGAACTCTAAAAGCTTAAGAGCCCACGGAGCTACACAGGTGAATTCAGCTAACCCACGTGTGGCCCGGAGCTTGCGTCCTAGTGAAATTTTTCAGGCGCCGACCCCTTCGGCCAGCTCATTGGCCCAGGCGCGGGGGCGGGGCACGTCCTCGTGCGTGGGTTGGAAGCACGTGCTGGGGGGCCGGAACCTCAGTGGGAGTAGCGGCAAGCGGCAGGAGCTATGGCGTCGTTATTTTGGGGAGGCGACGCTGGGGCAGCGGAGAGCGAGCGGCTCAGTAGCCACGTAACGGCCCCCCACCCCTTGGGCTGGGGCAGACGCGGGCCTTGGGTTTGGACAACCAGCTAGGGATCTGAGGGCACCGTGTGGGCTGGGGGAAGGGGGGGGCGGGGAGAACCCTGGAGGGAGAAGGCAGGAAGAGGTAGGGATGGGACGAAGACTGTCCCGGAGACCACCTGGAGGCGAAGGAAAGCACTGGGGTGGCGGGGAGACCTTCCTGGAGGCGAAAATGGGGGGTGAGGGGGAGGGCCGCGGGGCAGGGAAGAGATGTTCAGAGGAACCGACCTGGGACCTCACCTCAGGAGGAGGGCAGGGGGAGGGGGAGACCGAGTCTGGACATCCCTGGGAGAGACGCCCTGGAGCTCTTGGCTGGAAAAAAAGCTGCTCGTGCAGGAGCCCAGTAGGAAAGGGATGCACAAAGGGGCAAACTGCAAGTGCCCCAACTTACCTGCGGGTCTTTTCCTAGTTCCCCTTGTAAACCAACAGGCAGCAGCTGCCTACAATGATTTGTCCTTGTTTAGCATCTACATACCACGCAAGGGACAGGTACCCCGCAATTTGGGACCAGTGACATAATAGAAGAAAATATGTGGATAACTAGGCCAGCAGAGATATTCCTTCAGATTTAGGTTAATCGTGACCACAGGCCACTCCAATTATATGGGACTACAAGATCGTTGCATCCTTGATGATTTTTAAGTACAAACCCTTCCAGCCCTTAGTACTCAGCTGACATTCCCTAGTTGAGACTGCTTGAAATTTATGTTTTTCAATAGTTGTCAAATCTCATTCCCCGGAAGAGTCTTCGGGGTCTTAAGAGTACCACGATCCCTGGACTAGGTGAGTGGTGCTAGGAAAAAGCTTAGTTGATATCGTGTAGGCAAATGTATTGCCTTTTGATGCATGTCTCTGTTAACCAGTTGAGAACTTCACATGTGTAAGGCACTGGCATTCTAGTTAATGTCCTTATAGCTCTAGTCCATATTCATAAGCTGTAGTCCATGTACTCAGAGAGATTGCATCTGTTGTTGAGGGGAAAAAAGAATGACAATATACATGAAACAAGAAAAGGACTAAGGAGCAAAGTACCAACAAAAACATGGATATGATATAGACTAAATTAGGGACAAGAGTTTAAAAAAATAGTCAAAGGGGGTAGAATTAATCAGCATTTCCTAGAGAAAATATGAATAAATGAAAAAGTATTTACTAAAAGCTATATGCAAAGCACTGAGAAAACACATTGAAAAAACAGGTGCGTATTTATATGTATTTATACACTATTTTATTATATAACAAAATATATATTTATTATATGTTATATAGCTTTTATAATTGTGTGTTTTATTTTCGATTTTGTTATATATTTTTATATTTTATATGTGTATAATACATGTCATATATACATACATAGCTTTAATAGGTTTAAGCTAATACCTTGTGTATTTATACGTACACGTCTTTTCTATTTGTATTATATATACCTTGCAATTTATATACAAATATATTTATGTTTGTGAATGAATTTATATATTTGCATATAAATTATGTATTTTGAATACAGATAAAGGCATACATATGTGCATCCATAGTGGGTAATGGTATTCTAGTTGAGGGGCAAACATAGAAATAGGCAGGGGAATGGACCTGCAATTGTGATTTCACTGATATAGGAAACTCCATGGTGAAGAAGCTCCCTCTACTAATGCAGGTTGGTACCTTCTTTGGCACTTACAGTTTTAGAGAGTTGCCTAGAACACTGAACTGGTAAGTGACTTGCCCAAGGTCACACAGCCAGTAAGTGTCAGAAGTGGAACTTGTACCCACATCTTACTGGCTTGGAAGCCATCTCTTTCTCCACCGTACCATGATTCCTCTCCAGCTGGGAGTAAACTTTGTTCTCCCCTGGAATTGGTACAGTTCCTCTAGTTATTGTTTCCGCTTGCCCAGCTACCAAATGTTTTTCTTTTTGATTATTAACCATTCATGTCACCTATCGTACTTTCCAGAGAATTGAAATGCATTATCCAATCTGAGTGAAATAAAGATAAACTGAAATTAAATAATGTATTAAATTCTCCTTTGAAAGTAGCAGGAGGGAAGCTGGGAGAATTCAAGCACAAATGACTATAATCCCATTCCAGTGTCTCATTCCCAAAAGGAGGTAACCAGGTTTTCAAACTATGCCATTGGAGCACAAGCATCAAATGAGGGATGTTTGTTGTCTGAGAATCAGCATAGGTAAATTCAAAAAGGCTTATCACTAGAAGATTGGCAGCAGGGTGATGAATATTTTGACCAAGGTATTTCATGAAACAAGAAAATCAACTGTCTACTAAGATGCAGAAAGGTTACATTTGGAAGGAGCATCTACTTGACAAAAAAAAAAAGGATCCTTTAAGTATTGAATTAAATATTCAAGCTGATCATGTATTTTGTTAGCAAACTGTTTATTAAACAGCCTCTGCTTAAGTCAGTGGGGGGAAAGAGGAGAAACATCCCTCATGGTTTGATTGCTATATCTGAGTGACAGTTGTTTGAAAAACGGCCAAGGAAGTAGGGGGTTAATCCTAGAGCCTTGTGTAAGCATTTGGGTGGTTCTGCTATTTCTGCCTACAAGAGATCACAATTTACCACCTCTTGGTAGCTAAGTAGTCCTAGCTTTGACTCCATGCATTAGAAACAGCTGCTACTATTATCAGTGAGCTAGAAGGGGGAAGAAAAAATAAAATAAAAACAGACTAGCAGTGCTAGCTAAATGAGTACCTGAGCCCTGCATAGTTACTATGCTTATGCAAACATGTTTAGAGACAGCTGTGTGTTTGAGGATGAATGGTAACTTTAAAGTATGCCTGGTTACATGAACTCCTGTTGCTAGAATGAGAAATTAATAAACCTTGTTGCTTAAATGATTAATCCATGACAATGTAGGAAGGCCTATAAAATCGGATAGCAGACCAGAAAGAAATTGATTTCATATTGTTTAGATTTTGTGGGAAGAAGTGTTTCTGGAGAAGTTTGTTGCGTTCTTGAGGCAAATGTTTACCCAAGTTATAGAGAGAAGGAAGGGAATAAAGACTAGGGAGGCAATTTTGGTAAATGTAGGGGAAGCAAATGTAAATTTTACAGATGAGTGGATTTTTCTGAAGGTCTGAAGTTTCTATATAGCCTTTATGCAAGTCTAGGATTCACTCATGAGATACAATATGGTAAGTAGAAAAAATGCTAGACTTTGACACAAGCTGCGTTTGAATCTTGGCTCTAAAACTTACTAGTTGTGCACGTGGTGTCCTGGACAGTGATAGGAAAGTTCAGAATAAGTGGGAGAATTGGAGGGTGGGGGAGAGGAAAGAGAATGAGTTCTGTTCTGAACATGTCAAATTTGAAGTGGTTAGGGGACATTCAGTTGGAAATGTCCAAAAGGCAGTTGGTGATAAGGAGCCATAACTAAGAAAAGTGGCTAGGTTTCGATATGTAGATCTGGAAATCATCTGCAGAAAAAATGAATAATGAACCCAAGGAAGCTAGATGGAATTACAAAGTCAGATAGTATAGTCAGAAGAGAGGAGGGCCCAGTACAGAACCTTGGGGAGCACTCAGAGTTAGTGGATGTAATGCAGATGAAGTTTGAGCACAGATAACTAAAGAAAAGCCATCAGACAGGTAGGAGAAAAACCAAGAGAAAGTAGTATCACAGAAACCTAGATAAAAGAGAGTATCAAGAAGAGGATGATCTACCATATCGAAGGCTACAGAGAAATCGAAAAGTAGGAAGACTGGGAAAGGGTCATTAGATTTGGCAATTAAGAGATCATTGGCATCTTTGGAGAGAGCTGGACATAATGGCTTATTAGATGGGGTATAGATATTACATGTAAACCAACCATGTTACTTGCACCACTTAACTGTATAGAAAGTGCTTTATGTCCCTTAAAGTATTATATAAGTGCAAGTTATTCATTCAGCAGAAATTTGTGTATCCTTTATAATATTGTATGTTATACAAAGAAACACATAGTCCCAGTGGACAAATGAAACATTCTTGTGAAAAATTAAGTAGTAATGACAACAATACAGCATATTATAAAACAGTCATGATAAGTGCCAAATGCAAGACACACGTAGTAAATGCTATAAGAACAAAAGAGAGATTATGATGGTCAGATGTGGTTTCATAGAAAAGATTGAATTTGAGTGGATACTTGGAAGATACATAGAATTTGGATAAGCAGAGAGAGGGCAGGGAAATACTTCCGGCAAAGGTACAGAAAAAGGAATGTGCATGGCATGTTCAGAGGATATCGAGTAAAGCAATATAATTGGAGTACAGAATTCGTATAGGATAGTACTGGAAAATAAAAAGGGGGAAGAGATCAGTGTAGGTGTTTTGCTTCTGTTTTGAGACTGTATTGTCCCATCTCACCTAGGCTAGAACATGCAGCAGCCACTCACATGCCCAATCCCAAAACAGATTGGCAAAGAAGTTCTAACCTCTTTTTTTCTGACCTGGATCAGTTCACCTCTCCTTAGCCTGGTGCTGCCAGGGGCCCGTCATATTGGTGTTGGACTTAGTATGGACTCCTGATCAGCTTTAGCCCTCTTGCAGCTCACAACTCCCAAACTAAAGCAATCTGCCAGCTTTCCCAGGTAGCAGGGATTACAGGTATATACAACTGTGCCCAGCCCACTGTAAGTGTAAAGTGATGAACTAAGGAATTTAAACTTTATCCTGTCAGTAATGGAGAGAGATTGCAGATTTTTTAGTAGGAGGGTGACATGAAAGCAGTGTGTTCATTGGCTTGTACAACACGTATTAGAGAGGAAGAGGCTAGAGTATATCCCTTCCCAAGATTTATATATCTTACCTTTCCCTTTTTTTTTGGGGGGTGGGGGGAATATTTCTTCCTTTCAGGTGCTTCCATTAATAATTCTGAAGATGATGAAGAAGAGGATATCGGTAAAATGTTTATTTATGTATATTATTTGCCATTTTGGTTTTAGTCCATTTAGTTATTCTTCACAGCCTTGTGTAAGGTTAATCTCCATTGGAGATTCCTTTTTGAACAAAAATATATCATGGGAATTGTTTAGGAAGGAAAAAAGAAAAGAGTAGAGAAAAAAACAGGAGAAGCCCAAGTGTATTTGGGGGAAGAAGAATGGAGTGACAGTGGAATAAGCAAAAGTAGGTTTAAGCATCATTCATTAAGGGAAGAAATAAGGAAGAGCTGGGTCTCAGGTGGATATGGGCTTGCTTATGGTGGAGAGCAGGTATATGTACTAGAAACATTGAAAGCTCTGTACCCTCACAAAAAAAGGAAGACAACCTCTACCTAGTTCACTGGCATCCTTTCCAGTCACTTTTCCAGTTTTAATTAAGAAAACAGGTGACCACAGATGCATTAAAATGTAAACTCTCAATTTTGATGCAATCTATGTACCTAGTTCACCACAGTGTTCCATTCTTATTTTGTTTCTCCCAGTGGATTTGGCTGCCAACTCACTCTTGAACAAACTAATTCGGCAGTCCTTAGTAGAGTCCACTCACCGTGTGGAAGTCTTACAGAAGGATCCTAGCTCTCCTCTCTATTCAGTAAAGACATTTGAAGAGTTGCGACTGTGAGTATTTCATTACTGGGTCAGCTTTGGAAATGCCAAAAACCATGGCTCAGGAGAGATTGTGTCAGTAGCACAAAGGAGCTTCAAGAAGGGACTTCTTTGCTTTCTGACATTTTTTCAATGTTGAATGAGACATGTATGTTTGAAATAGTTAAAATACAACTAAATTAGGAACATTAAAATATTACTTCTACGTCTGTTTTGAATAGCGGTTGATAAGGAAAAAAAAGTGTATCTTGCTTTGCTCGTAAGATTGTGTGATGTGATGGAAAGAATGCTAGACCTGGAATCAGGAGAAACCTGAATTTAAATCCTTTCTCTGATGCTTATTTGTTGTGTGTCCATGGACAAGTCACTTTCTGATCATCAGTTTCTTCATCTATAAAATAAGGATAATACATATAAGTAACTGTCTCATGGGAGTTAACTGTGGCATACTGGATAAAGGGCCAACCTAGGAGTCAGGATGACCTAGGGTTAAGTCCTTCCTCTGACATATACTAGCTTTGTGACCATGGGCAAGTCATTTAACTGGTCAGTGCCCCAGGGAGCTTTCTAAAGCTATAAGCTATAGGTAGGTTACTGATCTATGTTAGTACAGTTTCCATAGAGGGCGTTCACCACACCAATGAAATCACAAGTCCAACCAGGGGGAAAAATGCTCCCTCCCCAGTCTGTTATGAAAAGCAAATAGATAATGTGTATTAAATATTCTGTAACTGTTACAGTGCTGTGTCAAGGGTGCTTATTATTGAGGTGGAATGTCAGTTTTGGAGGGAGATGGTAGCATTGATAATCCAGAAATCATTTCTATTGAATTTTGGAATAAATCATGTGATCCTGAAACAGGAAGAATATATGTTGATCTTCCCAACTTAAGTTTGTCTTGGCTAACTTAAAATGAGTAAATAAAATGAGTTTTCACAACCCTGCTCGTGATGAGAAGTAGCCCAGGGGCCTGATGAATGGTAGGTAAAGAAGCCTCTCAGATTTAAAATTGGTTTTCAGAAATTCAGGTGAGTAATTTACATGCAAATAATTGATAAAGTGCAAGTATTCTGGTCTGAGCTATGTTTGTAGATACTTGGGTCATGAAGAAAGTTATGTTAAATGTATTTTTTTAAGACAAGTCACAGTCCCGTGTCCATAAAAATAACTTGGCAGCATTTAGTTACTATTCAGGTATGTATTTCTGAAGTCTTAAATGTTTGTGTAGTCAGAATGAGGAATAAGAGGAGAGCGGACCATGTGCTCCCCTCCTCTCCATTCAGTGTTAGAAGACCTCAAGCATGGTAGGCTGATCCTCTGTGGGGGATCTGTCAGAGAATAGGGACAGGAATCACACAGGATAAGAAGGAATAGGTAGATTGTCCTGTATTCCAATGTAGGGAATATCTACAGATCATTAATATATAAATTAGCCAAAGACCTGTAAGTCTGATTTATTTTTAATAGAAAAGAAGAGTTACTGAAAGGGATTTATGCAATGGGATTCAACAGACCATCAAAAATTCAGGAGATGGCCCTCCCCATGATGCTGGCACACCCGTAAGTCCCAAGGGCTCTTGTAAAGTGGCTTGGCTTGTTTTCATTTCTTAGACTGGCTTTAAGCTTAATGGTTTCCTGTTATCCTGTAGACCTCAGAACCTCATAGCACAGAGCCAGTCTGGAACAGGCAAAACAGCTGCTTTTATCTTGGCAATGCTAAGCAGAGTTAATGCCTCAGAGCTGTTTCCCCAGGTAAGAAAGAGGTGAGATAAAATAATTGTGACCTTTGTAGTATATGTAATGGCCAGCCAGGGGAAAAAAGTACAAAAACCTCTTCCCTCTTCTCAAACTGCAGCCACTCATTCATTCTCTTCTCTCTCTACAGTCTGTTGGTGACTCCATCAACTCCCATGGGTTTAATTATCATCTCTATGCAGATGACTCTCAGAGTTATATATCCAGCACCAGTCTTTCTCCTGAGCTTCAGTTTCACATCACCAACTGTCTATTGGTTATTTCAAACTGGATGTCCCAGAGACATCTTAAAATCAACACATCCAAAGTATAACTCATTATCTTTCCATACAACTTCCCTATTTCTATAGAAGGCACCACCATTTTTCCAGCTTCTCAGTCTTGTAACCTTGGCATTTTCCTTAATTTCTCACTCTTCCTCACCCCACATATCCAGTCAGTTGCCAGATATTGCCATTTATACCTCCCCAACATTTCTTGCCTCTGATCCTCTTTTCTCTGTTCACACAGCCACCACTTTAGTTCAGGTTTTGTCACTTCACATCTGGGGTATTCTATTTGCTACCTAATTAGTCTTCCAGCTTCAAGTCTTTTTCCACTCCATTTCATCTTCTACACAGCTACCAAAGGGATTTCTAGAACACTACTTTCCTACTTCTGCTACTTGTCTGACCATTCCTCAGGGTTTTTTTTGCTAGTTTATCCTTCTACTACCCCATGAATATCATTTTTTCCTTTAGTTCTACCATTGGCCCTCTTTACTTTTCTCACTACATTTTCTCCTTTGGTGATCTCATCTACTCCTCTTTATGACCTCTATGTAACTCCTAAATCTATAAATTCAGTATTAATTTCTAGGGTAGCTAGGTGGTACAGTACATAAAGCGCGGGGCCTTAGAGTCAAGAAGACTCATCTTCCTAAGTTCAGATCTGGCCTCAGACACTAGCTGTGTGACTGTGGGCAAGTCACATAACCCTATTTGCCTCAGTTTCCTCATCTGAAAAATGAACTGGAGAAGAAAATGGCAAACCACTCCATTATCTTTGCTAAGATAACCCCAAATGGGGTCACAAAGAGTCAGACACAACTTAACCAACAGTGGAACAACATTCCAATCCCACATTGTCTTTTTTTGCATGTTTAGGCAGTTGGGGTTAAGTGACTCGCCCAGGGTCACACAACTAGTAAGTGTCAAGTATTTGGTCTGAGGCCAGATTTGAACTCAGGTCCTCCTGACTTCAGGGCTGGTGCTCTATCCACTGTGCCGCCTAGCTGCTCCCCAATCCCACACTGTCAAATGCCAGCTGGATATCTTCACCTGAATGTCCCATCAACATTCTAGACCCAGCCTTTCCAAAACAAATTATCTACTCCATTCAGATGTGCTTCTCCTCTAGACTTCACTATTTCTACTGAGAGCATCTGTTCTTCCAGTTACCAGGATTCATAACCTTAAAGTCATCTTAGGTTCTTCCCTCTGCTTTATGTCTTAGGTCCACTCAGTCACCATGACCTGGCAGTTCTATCTCCACATCATCTCTTGTCTTCATTCACTTTTCTCCATTCATATAGCCATCATCCTCTTTCAGGCCCCCATCACATCTCACCTGGCCCACTGCACTAGTCGTTTAACTAGTTTTCCTGCTTTCTGTCTCTGACCTCTCCATTTCATCCACACAATTGTCAAAATAATCTTTTTCAAGGCACAAGTCTGACCATGTTATTACCTGACTCAAACCTATCTATAGCTCCCTGCAAACTCCTTAGCCTATCATTTAAGGCCCCCTGTTGTCTCTTTTTAACCTTATTTTGTGAATTCTGCTGTGTAACTAGACAGTACTGCTAGCTTAGCCAAATTTGGCATCCCAGCACCTGCCTCCCTATATTCACACAGCTGTTGAGATGTACTCCTTCATGATCCCTGCCTCCCAGAATCCTCCTCAAGGCCTAGCTTAGGTGCCCTCTTCTTCAGGAATCCTTCCTGAGTCCTTCCCACCTCCAGTGTTTAGTGCTGTCACTTACCTCAAATTACCTTGTACTTATTTTTATTTGAGATTTCTTGAGGGCAGGAGCTGTCTTATTTTTCTCTCTCTAATACCTGGCACACAGTAGAAAATAAATGTTTTTCATTGCATTAAAGTTAAGACACAAATATAAAATATTTTTCAATGTCCTCATAGCACATTATTTTCCTCTTTCAGTCTAAATTAGTTGATATTAGGATTATAATACCCTGGCCGGAGCAGCCACGGATCTATACATCCATTTTTCTCTTCCACCGTCAGCATCATTCCTCCTAGACCTAATCTGTGCAGAGTATTGTGGTTGGCACTGAGGAAATAGGCCTAATATTCTTTTCTAGCCTCCAAGGCTTATAGTATAATTGGGAAGATAGGACATAAATGTACAAAAATCAACAACAGTAAAGGGTAGCAAAAGTTAAGTCCTAAATGAATGATGCAGACACCAGGGGCTGTAGGACTGGGGAGATTGAAAAAGGGTCTCAGAATCACAGTGATTTTGAGTAGAACAGCAGAACTTGAATTTGACCTTGGTGTAAGAGTAGGATTTAAATATATAGAGAAAGAGGAAGCCAACCCAGGTAAGAGGATTTTCAGAGTAATACTGGATAGATATCTGCGTACCATGTGCAAGAACAATGAGTAGACCATATTGGCTGGAGTAGAAGAGTCACATAGAGGTAAAAAATAAAGTTGAATGTACGTTTGGAAGAGCTCTGAATGCCAATCTAAAGGGTTTGGACTTTATCCTGGTATCTAGAAACCATTAAAGGCTTTGAGCCAGTAAAATGAGGCAGAGCAGTGAAATAGGAAGATTAAAGTGGATGTAGGATGTTGGGAATGAGAAATTTAGGGGGGGGGGAAGGCTAGAGGCAGGGAGACCAGTTAGAAGATTATAATAGTCCCTGGATAAAGTAATAAGAACCTACATTTATAGTATGATTTCCTAGTATTACCTCTTTGTATTCCCTACTCCCATCTACAAATATAGTAGTACCTAGTGGCTATATTGTTGGTTATTCCTTGTTGTGACTTTTTCAAAAGGAATATGTGAAAGATAGCTCGTTCCCGATCTCATAAGTCTTCAACTAATGTGCCAGCCATTAAATGCATTCAGCTAGCGTTGACATTTTAAACCCAAATTCTACAACTAGGCATTTCCGTTCTTCTTTCTAGCCCCAGTCCCCAAAGGTTTGCTTTTGTAAATTTTTTTCCCTATTCTATCTTAAGTGTCTCTGCTTAGCTCCAACTTATGAATTGGCTCTGCAAACTGGGCGTGTGGTTGAGCAGATGGGAAGATTTTGTATTGATGTTGAAGTGATGTATGCTGTTCGAGGAAACCAAGGTATGTGCCAACTAAGAAAGTCTTGGCTAACTTTATAGTACTCTTATAAGCTCCTAGACAGTTGATTTCATTCAGGCTGGCTTCTAAAATAGGCTCAGTATCCTGTGTGGTAGGATCATATCCCTCACATTGTTCTTTTGATTGTTATTATTAACCCAGCTGTTTCCAGGACTTTATCTTGCACATTTACAAAGCCAAAATGGCAGCGTTTTTTAGTTTTTAGATCTTGGAACTTATTTCATTAAGTTGCAGTCCAGTGCTGTGTACTCTGACTTAACCAGTTGGATATTATGAAAGGTGAGACTTTGCATCTAAGAAAAAAATTTAATCTTTTTTTCCTCTAGCTCCGAGAGGCACTGATATAACCAAACAAATTGTAATTGGCACCCCTGGGACTGTTCTAGATTGGTGTTTTAAACGAAAAGTGATAGATTTGAATAAGATTCGTGTTTTTGTCCTGGATGAAGCAGATGTGATGATTGATACCCAAGGATTCTCAGACCAAAGCATTCGAATTCAGAGGTAATCTCAGAGCATTGTGCCTCTTCCTGTATCATAATACTTGATGTATGTGCTGCTCCTTGTTATGTGGACTTCATCTTTCCCCACCCCTCACCATTGCCATCCCCATTAACACCTAATCTCCTCATTTTTCTCATATTTTTTTTTCAGGGGCTTTGTAGAGTTCTGTGATTTCTGGGATGCCTCATTTTATTTTGGCTCATCTAGAAAAAAGGTTGTCTGTGTTGACACATGGGGGCAGCAAAGGCTTGGGCTGTAGCTGATTCACAAGAGTGAAGATTCAAGGGATTTGTGCCCTTGTGCTAGGTTTATTCATGTTTCCTTCCCTTCCTCCCTTGGCAAATATACGAACACAGAATTCTGATGCCTGCCTGCCCACTTTTTAAAGGCTATTGTGAGGGTACAGTAGATAACTGAGACCACATCAATAGAGGGTTGGCTTTGAAGTAGGGAAGACCTGGGTCCCAGTCATGTCTCTGACACATATACTCTCTGTGTGTACCAGCGGGCAATTTATTTAACCTCTTAGTACTCCAGGCAAATTTCTAAGACGTCTAAGTTACATTAAGTTACGTCTGAGTTGCAAATCTACATTGGTGGAGTTTATATCTCAGGAGTTTCCTATATTCATGAGCTCGGAGTTCCATGTCAAAATAGTTATAATGATGAGAAGAGTCGGGGCATGGTCCTAACTAGTTTTGTTACTTCTACCTTCATCTCTAGAATCTGTTTCCTCCGTTAAATGAGGGGATTAAACTAGATTAGGGCTTGAAAAATCTCAGGTGCCAGCTGACCGTGGTCCCTACCAATTTCTTTTTATACCTAAATATTTTTGTACAATCTTACATGAAACTATATAAATGTATCCTGCTCTTCCTATTCATGTTACTATTTTGTCATCTCAATAATATAAAAAAAAAAAGTTTTCCAGGAGACTAGACAGTGCCCAGCATGTACTCAGTTGTTCTGAACCCTGAAGCTTTTCAGAGGTTTTCTCTTGATCTTCTTAGGACCCTTAGTCACTCAAATTTGGTTCTTGACCAGAGACTAGTGACCAATATCTTATAGTAACATAATACTTTTTTTCTCTTTTGTCTTCCTTTCCTTGAAAGCCAAAAAGTATACCTGGCTTCCAAAGAAGTACGTTGAGTCCTGGACTCCAAGATTTCTAAAGGTTACTACCATCTCTTAAGAGTCTATGATTCTGAGTCAGGGAAATAAAAAAGAAAGGGAATAGTTTTACTATAGTTTTTCCTTCATTTACAATCCTAATTCTTATGATTCTACCCCAACACCCCTCTCTCCACTTTGTTCATCTTTACTAAGAAAGGAGGAAGCAAAGAGGGAAAAGCTGTAGAAGGTAGTTTTTAAACTGTTCAAAAGAAGTGGCATCAAAAATTCTGCAAGAAAACAGTCCTCCTAATCCTTGTCCAGTTCTCATGCAACATACTTGCACTCCTGAAAAGGAGAGTAGAGGGGCAGCTTAGGTGGCACAGTGGATAGAGCACTGGCCCTGAAGTTAGGAGGACCTGAGTTCAAATGCGGCATCAGACCAAACACTTGACACTTACTAGCTGTGTGACCCTGGGCAGGTCACTTAACCCCAATTGCCTAAAAATAAAAAAGGGGAGAGTAGATAAATACTTCTTTTGGCTTCTCCATCTGCTTTCCATTTTAGTCACTTTTTGATTTTTGTTACTTAAAATACTTTTGGCCCCATTTATATTGTATGTTTAGGGCTAGGCAGCAATCCTTGTGAATAAGGTTAGTAATTTCTACTTGTTTCTCCTCTTCCAAATTGTCTCTTACTTTCCATCAGATCTGATTGTTGTTTTAATTTCCCATCTCCTCTGTTTAACCTTGTCTTCTTCCTTCATAATCTGACTTGTTTTCAAAGGCTAACTTCCTTTTCATTTGGAACATCAAAACTAGATTTTGTGCCTGAGGAGTTCATAAAATCTGTGCCCTATAGCCAAGGCAATATTATGTGGTTACTCTATGATCTTGAAGCAAAACATTTCATCTTTAAATATCTCTTTTCCTCTCTCTAGAAATGTGATCTTGCCCAGAAAAGTGACCTCAGGCCTGACTAGTTCCCAGAGGAGCTTGGCGTTTTTTGTTGGGTTTTTTTTTTTAAGTTTTGAACTGTCTTAATCCCTCCCTCCCCACCTCACACTAGAGAAGGCCACCATTTGCCATGGAGATAGAGAGAGAGAGAGAGAGAGAGAGAGAGAGAGAGAGAGAGAGAGAGAGAGAGAGAGAGAGAGAGAGAGAGAGAGAGAGATGGATGATAGATAGATATGTAAAACCATACTATGCATACTTATCATATTATGCATAGTTATCAGTTTTTTCTCTGGAGGAAAATATCTTCATTCTAAGTCCTTTGTAGTTGATTCTAGTATTTACAAAACTCAGAATAACTTAGTCATTCACAATTATTCTTCACACAGTATTGCTTTATCACATAAAATGTTTTCTTGGTTCTGCTCATTTCACTCTTCATTATTTCAAGCAAGTGTTTCCATGTTTTTCTAAACCTCATTATTTCTTACAGCACAATAGTATTCCATCAGAATCATATACCACAGTTTGTTTAGCTATTCCCTGAGAGGTATCCCCTCAATTTTGAGTTCTTTGCCACCACACGGAGAGCTGCTATAAATATTTTAGAACACATAGGTTCTTTTCCTTTCTCTCTTATCATCTTGGGAAACAGACATAATAATGTTTTTACTGGGTCAAAGGGTATGCTTAGTTTTATAACTGTTTGAGCATAATTCCAGATTACTCGCCAAATGAGTTGGATAACTTCACAGTTCTACCAACAATGTGTTAGTGTCCCAGTTTTTCCACATCCCCTCCAATATTTGTCATTTTCCTTCTCTGTCATTTTAGCCAAGCTGATAAGTGTTAGATGATCTCTCAAAGTTGTTTTAATTTGCATTTCTCTAATCAATAATGATTTATAGCGTTTTTCATATGCCTATGTAGCTTTGATTTCTTCATCAAAAAACTGCTTGTTCATATCCTTTGACTGTTTATCAATTGAGGAATGATTGATATTCTTATAAATTTGACAAAGTCCTCTATATATTTGAGATATGAGACCTTTATCCAAGAAACTGTCTATAAAGATTTTTTTCACAATTTTCTGCTTAACTACATTGGTTTTATTTGAACAAAAACTTTAATGTAATCAAAATTATCCATTTACATCTCGCAATGTTCTCTGTCTCTTGTTTATTCATAAATTATTCTCTTATCCATAAGTCTGACAGGTAATATGTTCTTCTGATTTCCTTCGAGCTCCCTTTATATCTAGGTCATGTATCCATTTTGACCTTATCTTGATAAATAGTGTAAGATATTGGTCTATACCCAATTTCTGCCAGACTACTTTCCAATTTTCCCAACAATTTTTGCTAAATAGTAATTTCTCATCCCGCAAGCTTAAATCTTTACATTTGTCAAACAAAAGGTTACTATAATCATTTACTACCATTCATTTTATGTCTATTCTGTTCTGTTGATCCACCTTTCAATTTCTTAGCCAGATTCAGATATTTTTGATAATTACTAAAACAACTATTATAATATAATTTAAGATCTGATACTGCTAAACCTGCTTCCTTTACTTTTTTTTCATTAATTCCTTTTCTATTCTTGACCTTTTTTTTCCACATGAATTTTGTTACTATATTTTCAAGCTCAATAAAATATTTTTTGGTAATTTAATTGGGATGGCATTGAATAAGTAGATTAGTTTAGGTAGAAGTGTTATTTTTTATTATATTGGCTGTGCTCACCCGTGAGCAATTTCTACTTCTCTAGTTATTTAAATCTGCATTTGTTTAAAAAATGGTTTATAATTATGTTGATGTAGTTCCTGGGTTTTTCTTGGCAGGTATACTCCCAGATATTTTGTGAATCTCTTACTATCTCTTCTTGCAGAGTTTTATTGGTGATGTATAGAAACACTGATGTCATATGTGGGTTTATTTTTATCCTGCTACTTTTCTAAAATTATTAATTTGTTCAACTAGCTTTTTAGTTGAATCTCTAAGATTTTCTAAGTATTTATGATATCGTCTTGCAAAAAGAGATAGTTTTATTACCTTATTGCCCATTCTGATTCCTTCAATTTGTTTTTCTTCTCTTATTGTGATTGCTAGCATTTCTAATACAACATTGAATAATATTGGTGATAATGGGCATCCTTGTTTCACTCTTGATCTTACTGGGAAGGCTTCTAGCTTGTCCCGCCCCCGCCCCATTTCCCAAGGTTTCTTACCTTAATTTCATCCTCTGTGACAGTGAAGACTTCATCCACCAGGTCCCTTATAATAGGCCAAGTGTTGGGCCCAATGCTTGATTTAACCCCGTCTGCTATGGTGACTGGTGGAGAAGGGTTAGGGGTTAGCTCCCCTTTAAGCTTGTACTGGAAGCAGTCGTCCGCATTACAGGGCTCGGTGGCATACACTTTCACCTCTGGTCTCAGAGCCTGTCAGGAGAGCGCTGGATGTCTGACACTGCCCACGGCACCAGGATAAGCCCAGCCTCCTTTGCTGTTTGTGCCAAGAGCCCCCAGGACCCTCCAAAGGATGAACGTGACAATAAAGCACACTGCCCTGTCAAAAAAAATCAATTATGTTAATGGTTTTCTTTATGCTAAACCTACCCTGCATTCCTGGCATAAGTCCTACTTGGTAACGATGTATAATCTTTGTAATATATTGTTGTAGTCTCCTAGCAAGTATTTTATGTAGGATTTTTGCATCAATATTTATTAATGAAATTGGTCTTCTCTGTTTTTGCTCTTCCTGGTTTAGGTATCAGCACCATATTTGTTTCATAAAAGGAATTTGGTAGGATTCCTTCTTTCCTATTATCTAATATTTATTTAATATTGGAATTAATTGATCTTTAAATTTTTGATAAAATTCACTTGTAAATCTATCTGGTCCTGATGCTTTTTTTCTTAGGAAGCTCACTGATGG